ATATTTACGTTTTATAAGAACTGATTGGTACACGTAATCATACACGAAATGCCATTTGCGCGTAATCCGAACTCTAAGATGAAATCTACGTTAGATCTAATTTTCTTGAATCGTTCATTACACCTCATCTGGTTTTACAACACATTTATGAACCATACTATGATGAGGAACACATTAAAAGTATGTTAAACTATATATCAAAAAGACGCTAGATACATTTTCATACAGTTTAGTATCGGAATTAAGAGTTAAAGTTCTTGGCTCGTGTATGCGTGTTTATGTCATGCTACCAGACAATATGAGTTATTATCAAATAAGGGGCGGTCGGATCGGGTAGCCTAGTGGTTAAGGCGTTAGCTTGTCACGCCGAAGACCCAGGTTCGATTCCCAACTTGGGTGCAATGTGTGAAGCCCATTTCTGGTGTCCCCCGCCGTGATATTGCCGGAATATTGCTAAAGGCGGCGTAAAACCATACTCACTCACTCACTCACCCACTATTATAAAAAAAAAGTATTATTCTACCATGAACTCATCTTCGACCATCCAGTGTATTATATCGTCATTCAATTACGATGAATACATTGCAACTATTAGCTGCCAAAGTTCCGTTATCTGTGTTATCATAACTCCTCTTCTCGCTCGACTGTAATTTGATTGCACGTCGTCAGTCTTGAAGTCGCGTATTTCAATTCGTCCTCTGTAAGAAGCTATATTGACGTATGAGTCCAGGGTATTTATGATATAAGTATGTAGACATAATACACTGCATAATCGTCTAAGATTTGTCTTCATTCAACATAATTTGAAAACAATGAGTTACATTATAACAAGATTTAATAAATTACATCAGTATGTGCAAATCACTAACGAAGTGCTATTTGTGCGTAATCTGAACTTTAGGTTTCTTGAATCCTGAATAACACAAAAATAGATCTCTCACCTGCTTTTTAATTGCATGTATAGCAAACTATATGTCTGCGTTGATGCAGCAGTAATGAGCTACACTATGATAGAGAAGGTAATAAAATAATTGTGCGGAAATAAATTTTATTTAAAACACACCATATACAACTTTCATATTATTATTGTTATGTCTCTCAGTCAGTAAATGTATATGAAAAAGTTGATATGTGAAGCACATCAGAGGAGAGTGACAAAACATTACATCGGTGATGGTACGAATGAGTTGGATGCTGTGCAATGCTCGCTCAGACGCTACTTTCTTTAAAAAAATATGATTACAAACAGCACGATTGAAGAAGGATTTTGAATGAAATATCAACTCAGAGATAGATTAAGTGAGGCAATATGAATATGATGTATTATTTTACAATCGAACTGTGTCGGTGTAAGTTTTTTCACACATCAGTGTAAATAGATAGACAAAACAAAGTTGATATCAAATGTAAAAGATATATTATTTTGGTGTTTATTCATTTATCAATCATTGTAATTATGTGTAATAAACATTTAGAATTCCCACACGTATAGTTATAACATACATCCCTCCAGTAGACAAGACAGCCTCCCCGCCCAGCGAGTGTAAAAGGCGCCCTATGAATATTCATGAGCCTATTGTTATGCACAATAGACATGCATGACGTCACAATGAGAACGGAGTCATTGTGCATGCATGTTAAGAATGTCAAGAATGCTGCCTTTGTTAAGAATGTCAAGAAGGCGGCCTTTGTTAAAATGTCATGGTTGAAGAATTCTTTAGGAATCCCAGCTATGTGGAATGTAGTCGGGGTTGATATCTTCACATGAATAAACCAGAATGAATGAATGAATATTGTTTTACGCCGCATCAGCAATTCGCTCAGCCATTCAACATGAAGAGAAAGTTGGAATTTTGGATAAACTATTCAGAGCGACATTCCAATTCATTTAATGAATACCATTTTCAAAATGATAAAACATTTGTTCGACACGGGTGACCAACATCGTCTCCCAAAGCGGCAGCCTGTATTCACACACGGTTTAGCAATGCCTGAGGTAATGTATCCATCTAGGTCAATCAGTACAACGCGTGTCCCGCCCATTCATACAGCCGGATATCGGATGAGGTAAGCATTATTTTCAGAGTACATACTGACGTATTATCTCTAAACGGGACACTGTAACTTAAACATGGGTAACCATAAAGGGGGACGGTTATTTCTATAAGACCAGTGGTATATCACAGTATAGGGTTGAGGTGGGTAAAAAGTCTTAAAGCCGATACATGCTGCACGGAAGATAACACAATTCTGAAACTGTTCATGTATCCTTAATAAGAACTTGGGATGTTTCATTTCAACCTAGCTTTTACAACATACTTACTTTCATTTATCATATGTTCGGTGAATAATATGTGATGTGAACGGGATATAATTTAAGAAGAACGTGTATGGTCGGATTTAGGATTTAGATGGGAAACTTAGGGCACGATATAAGCGATGGAAATTAAGATTGAAAATAAGAATATGACTGACTTTTTACGACGAAATATATCGCAGAGTTGAAAATTAAAATTGAAAATAAGAATAAGACTGACTTTTTATGACGAAATATATCACGGCGTGAATAAAGTAGAGACATTTTTTATAAAAATGCACTATTTTTTATTCATATTTTTAGTGAACATGATTAATGGTATTGGTTGAATAATGGATTACGACGGTTAAAAAAATAATTTCTGAAACCTTATCCATAGAGGAATGTGCTGTGTCTGTAGCCATGATTCAACTGTGAGAGAGCGGTATTCGTTTCTACATAAATACCTGTAAAGATAAACTAACGATAATTAAGAACGATAAGAAATGAGGACAAAACAATCAGAGCGTGATAAACAGCGTATTTTATTCATATAAACACTCGTTCTAATTGCAACATTTTTACAACGCGTTTTCTTAACTCTGTTACCCAAAGGGGAGTTTTGAAGTAAACATCTCGATAGTCTTTGCACTGGTATTGACACAAAGTAAAAGATGGCTTAGGACTTAAATTCGAATCATCGTGAATCGATTTTAACCAGTTTTAAATCACATGATCATCATTGACTTCAGATAAAGCCAAGTTAAAATATTGATTGGCTTTATCTTGTTCGGACAAGTCACGACAAGTGTGAACACAAACGCTTGATGATTTTACTGTGTTCAAGTGTATAACACAATGTCAGCAAGGATTCAAGGCACTGCATGACATCGCCAGCTTCCACTTCATCTAATAGAACTTTCTGTGGGCGGATTTTCTCGACGATGACCCGTTTGCTTGCTTTCACGTTGTCATGGAACTTGATCTTCGCATCTTGCACGGATTGGTCTCTGTCTTGAAACCATTAGGATGACTGCACAATGACTGTTTCGTTGAGCTGGTCAGCTTCACGCAACATGTATTTCCACGTGTAAAAGGTGGCCTTTTCAATGGTCTTTCTGTACAATGCAACAGATATTTTCTTACATGATAATGTCTCTGACTTCCATTAATATTTTCCCTAATAAATTCTCTCCTTTCCATTTCGATGGAAATACAATGTTCGAGTCATATAGAGATAGTCCAACACCCCATCGCCTATCATAAGGACTAGCCTCTACTAGAATTCAAGGGTAAGAGTTGATCAGAATGTCTTTTAAGTAAACAGACTGGTGATATTTTGCAAGAGATGCTTTTCGCACTACGTCACAGCTAACTCTGTCCCACTTCAATTGGTTAAACTGTCTCACACGTTTACCCAATCGTTTCTGCTCTGCAGGTGATGAACATTTTAATATCTCCTCGGCTGTGTCCCAATCTTCAAACGTTACTGTTTTGCAATACATGTAATATTGTTCAGTAGAGTTACATTCCTTATCATCGATATGAATGGCAGTAGCATAGTGTTGACTAAATGGAGAGAACTTGGAATAAAACAATACGAACCTATCTGCTATCAGTGTTGCCATGATGAGACGTTCACACACATAGACGTTTTCCCAACTCAACTCGACAGTTGAAAATGGAAGGACAAACGAATGTACGCATGCATTATATCTATAAATAAGTTTTAAACTCATTGGCTGTTGAAAGGGAAAAGTGAGCTGATTGGTTAGATAACCTTTTGGCATCATGTCTATAATTAACATTTAAAATGATTGGTTCTGGTTTATTATCTTTGATATCATACTTTTATTATTGTTCTTTATTATTACATGTTTGAATTTTTTAACTGGTTCTTGCCGTGAATAGCTGGAAAATTGCTGATGCGGCGTAAAACAATATTCATTCAATCATTCTGGTTTATTCATGTGAAGATATCAACCCCGACTACATTCCACATAGCTGGGATTCCTAAAGAATTCTTCAACCATGACATTTTAACAGAGGCCGCCTTCTTGACATTCTTAACAAAGGCCGCATTCTTGACATTCTTAACATGCATGCATAATGACTCCGTTCTCATGTCTATTAGCATAACAATAGGCTCATGAAGATTCATAGGGCGCCTTCCGCGGAAGGCGCCGAAGGTATTACTTTTATACTACTGACGGTGTGACTGTGAAAGTCACTGAAGCGGACGTAGAAGTTACCTGTTCCTGTGATGTCTGTTGTCTGTACAAATGTCAAAATGTCTCCACTTGATGTAGTTTTCTGTTTCATTGTATTCTCTATTGTACAAGAGAAGTTTACAATTCACACAGTGGTATTTAAACATGAAGTTATGGAAATATTACTGCATATTTTGACAAAGAGCCTCGATGTTTGACTTCTATATAACAGGAACAGGGCGGAACAAATGTTTGTCAAAAATTGTTTTATATGGTGTTGATTTGATCATAAAACCATGTAACTTTGTATAAAATACATTTAGAATTCACATACAAATAGTTTTACAGTATATCTATTCCGCTGTGAGTGAAACTCACAGTCGAACATTTAGGGCGCTGTTCACAGATAATCTCACGAGATTCACAATAAATGTCCGACTTTGTCTCTACAGTAAATAAACTTGCCACACAACAAACACCATCTATATTTCCAGGTCCTAAACTACATCTGGACGCCGCTCGAGCCACCACAGACAGGTGCCACGTAACTACAAACGGTGAGCTGGTCAACTCTTGGCCCGACACACGGACTCATGGTAACAGTCGCAGGCTACGGAACTATTGGGGGACCTGTGCCTCCACCCCCATCCCCCTTCCTCCATCCCACCCCACTCTCACCCCGGTATACAGTACTCCCAGATACTGGGAGACACTAACCAGGGTGAGGGTGGTATGTGGAGAGCGGTGGTGGTGGTGGGGGCCTCTCATGGAGATGGGGGTGAGTGAGGCAGGACAGTTGGACAGGGGGTTGTTGGCTTCACTACAGTGTGGCTTCTGGTGTGTCAGTGTAGGGAGCTGTGGCAGACACGAGGGGAGTGTCTGTACCAGGGTGTGTCGCGAGGAGGAGTGGAGCGAGTGTCAGCAGAACACCATGTCCCGCACTCCCGGCACACAGGCCACCTTCCACTACGGTGTTGTGCTGGATGTGGGGAGGGGCAGACTCGCCTTCATTGACCTGAACAGGGGCGTTGTTTTAGCCAAGTTTGATGCGAGGTTTAGGGAAGACCTGTACCCCATGTTTGGTGTTAATCCGTGGCCAGAGTACTACACTATCAACATGAAACTGATCAGCGGGGAAGACATCGTCATCACCGACACCAAGAAGTCACTGATTCACGATGCGCTGACTTAGGACATCACGCTGTGTGAAGTTAGCAGTGTAATTCAAGGTTGTAGAATCTGCTGTGTCAAGGACGAGAACTGAACTGAGTGAAGCGGACATAAAAGTGTCCGGTTTGTCTGATATTTCATGTTTACAAAAACTAACGAAGTTTGCTAAACGTGATGTTTTGCTGCACGAGAGGGTGGTACAGTGTATAAAGAGATTTAGAATTATCACATGAGTATCTGTATGTTGACAGTATTGCTGTAGTGACTTCCAATATGAGACACTGTGTGATGTTTTGAGATTTAATGTGATGTGAAAATGAGTGAAGTGCAGTTTTACAAAAGTTGTTTCAATTAGCAATTTTCTTTATTTCACTTCACTTGTCTGTGTATAATAACTGTATTGAATCCACACATTCATAGTTTCATGATCATATTATTTTTGTAGCAGCTGAAATATGACACATTCTGTTGTTCTCCGATGAATGACGGGCTATGTAATAATGAGAACACAATACTGACACAAGTTGTTTCAAATAACAATCTCTTGTGTTACACCATAAAAACCTCTGATGGAAGTTATGCTTTTAAAAGATTGATAAAAAGTTTTTTTCAAATTTTCAATTTTCACTTTATTTGTTATCCATTCGAGAAAACATTGAAAAACATCGGAATTAGTTTGGTCTTGTTGTTCATTGTTCAGAGTCAACATGTGTCTATGAATATTTAGAGATAAAATATGCGTACACACACACACACACACACACACACGCACGCACGCACGCACGCACGCACGCACGCACACACACACACACACACACACACACATTAACGTCACAGGCCGGTCATTTAGTAATTTACAAAAGAAACTGTGGACAACGAAACGAAATACGTCACATTGTTCAGGACTATAAAGCAGCACAAGCCCCGCACATTCTTTTATCAGCCAGTTAGGAAACAGTTGTCCGTCAGGTTTATGGCAACATGAAAACGCAAAAATAATTCCATGGAATCTCTTACGATTTACCTATAAGGCTTTAATTTGTGTGTTTGTTGTTTTGTTTGTTTGTTTGTCACACTCAGCAATTTGCAGCTGTATGACAGCGGTCTGTAAATAATCGAATCTGGACCAGACAATACAGTGACTGACGTCATGAGCATCGACCCACGCAATTGGGATACGATGACATGCATCAACTAAGTCATTGAGCTTTACAACCCGATCCCGTTAGTCGCCTCTTGCGGCCAGCGTGGGTTGTTGAAGACCTATTCTACCCCGGATCTTCAGGGGTCTATAATGCTTCAAACAATCATGCATCCTGTATAGACCACTGAAGGCATGACAACATGCAGTGAAGTCTCAACCATTACAAAAATGTGTTACATATCACGTTTCCTTCTCTTACTCAACTTATGTGTGTAATAAATGTATGGTTATGTATTTTTAATATTCTGATATGCAATGTGTTATGGCATATTAGTCCAAATTGTGGCCTTTATTTGTTTACCTTTCTCTATTGAGTATATACAATCTGTTATTGTATCTGGTTTATATGGTTATCTATGTAGATTTACCATAAATATGTATTTGACCATAACAAATGTCAGCTTTAACATTCATGTTCCTATTATAGTCATCACATAAAGACAGAAAATATGTACATTTATGAACTTTAATTTCACTTTGTTACAATTAAAGGCAGTCCACATGTGCAATTCCTGTAATGGCCATATGCTATCGATATTGACGAACAATTGTTATGGTTTACATTGCGATGATATACATGCATTTGTTCGTTTATCAAAACAACCAATTTCTCTGGAGCAGACACAGTCAATAATGTGACCATATATGTTACAATATCATTTTTTTAATAAGTCCCTCTATGCATTTATGGAAATTTAAAGTAGAGAACTACCCTTACGTGAGATTGCGATCCAGATGAAGTCATCACGGTCGCTCCAATCAACACGCCCCTACTGTTGATTGTATTCTATATTTAGACACATGAATATGTAAATACTGCGTTTGTTGTCACCTGTGATTATGACTTGATATTAAGATTGTGTGAATGAGTATCATTATTCCGTTGTGGTTTCTTCATTTTTTCACAACAAATGATTTTTTTACAAGAAATCATTGTTTAATAGATATAGGGTCTATAAATTGAAATAAATGTTAAATGTTATAACTGTATATCTTACTAATACGGATATTCAATCTTGTGTGTTGGTAGATCGCTTTACAATATCAGATTACTTCGAATGTACAGTGGTCGCAAGGCAAGGGTGCAGGATCAGTCCTCTACTGCTTACTTTGTTTCTTAATGAGGACGGTAATCCATATTTGTGAATGAATTTGCTGAAACCATTACCTCATTGCTGATGTCATTGCCAATGTAGGTGATAAAGTTAGAATAATCAGATTTGTATGGTTTAAGAATTAATTTAGGCATGGCCAAACTAATGGGTTTTTAAAGGTGGTGTAATCAGACAAAAATATAATGAGATATGATGGTTTAAATTGTTTCACAAGTATTTGGGTGTAAGTTTTGCACGAAACCTTTTATGGTATAAGGCCAGAAATACACTAAGCACAACAAGCAGAAAAGTCAAAGTACATGTCGTGTCATTTTATCAAAAGTACCAAAACTTAAAATATATGCTCTAATTCTTGTTTCTCTTAAAGAATGATTGCAGGTGACAAACCTGACTAGTGAGGTACAACCTGCCTGCTGATTGATAAAGAAATTATAGTGGTTAAATCCTTTATTGTACCAGAGAAAAGGAAATCTACTCATCTTTGCAAGTAAAAGATTAAGAGTTGAGCTGTGTAGATACAGATGCAGAAATCGCGGGATGGAATAGACCCCAAAGCCTGGATTTTTAAATTTTGTAATGAAAATCTCCATTTGTTACGGAAGATGAAGTGCATGTTATTACTACACGTTCATTGTAACAGCGATACAAGCTTTGGCCATCTTAAGCATCCAGACATGTGGACATATGTGTTGAAATATTGACTGAAAATAGTATGTTTGAAACTGTGGCTTTGTCTAATTATGTAGAACACCAGTTAAGAAAGCTTTTCTGAAAGTTACTTGAACTTGATACTTGAACAACTTTGTAGTGCCCTATAGTTGTATTGAATGATGCTTTATGTATCCAAGAGTAAAGAGTGATGTTTCATATAATTGCTATTCATGCCTTCTATGCTTGTAATACGTTCTCTGGGCCGGAGGCCTAAACTACTGAAATAAAGACTTGAGACTTGAGGTTCTCGAATTCGTTCATTCCCGCAGCAGCCATATTATGGCAATTACTCATCAACTAAACTAAAACTGTAATGACATTTGCTGTAGTTAGTAGAGCGGTTCAACATATATAACACATGACAATTCATTTTTCAAACGTTTTGGGGAAAGATAGAAACGTTGAAAGCTCTACACCGCTACCTACTTCTCACGTGCGAAATCTTTTTCGAAATATGGAAGCTTGAAAGCATTAAACTAATATTTCATGCAGTTTGTTGTTTAGTTAATGAAGGATAATTCAAATTTTCCCTGAAGGTTTTATTTTCTGTATATTAGGAGTCTGAGTTTTATATATTGAGTCAAATTAAAAACTTCACATTTTTTAAAGTAATCCCATATATGATATACAACGGACAAATGTATCAGAGAAGGTAGTTTTTAATCATAAATGTCCAAAGAAGGATTTTAATTAACGGTGCTAACCATAATTTGTTCCAAGCACCTACGGTATTCGGTAATAACATCAACAGTTTAAATCATAAGTCCCAAGCACGAGAATCTGATGGCACACAAGTTCAGTAGCGTGTATGGCCACCATGTGCGTTGACAACTGCCACGCAACGCCTCCGCATGGACCTTGTGATGCTTGTGAACACATGAATGGGAAGACGACGCCATTGTTGCTTCAAAATGGTGCCAAGATCTTGCAAATTCTGTGGTTGGTTCTGGAGAGTGCACAGACTTCTGCCAAGAGCATCCCAGACGTGTTCGATGGGATTAAGGTCGGGAGACCTTGACGGCCAGTCCATGACGTTGACTCCCGCATTCTGAAGGAAATTTCTTGTCAAAATTGCTGTGTGGGGTCTGACATTGTTGTGTTGGAAGATCAAACCGGGTCCATGTGCTGCCATAAAAGGCAGAAGTTCTGGTGCCAGTACCTGGTCGCGGTAAGCAGCAGCGTTGAGGTTGCCACGGATGACAAGAAGCCTGGAACGTGCATTGCCACAGAAAGCACCCCACACCATGACACATCCGCCTCGAATTCTGTCAACTTCCTGTACACAACACTGGGCGTAACGTTCATGACGGCGCCTCCACACCCTCGCCCTACCATCAGCAAATCGAAGGTTAAATCGGGATTCATCACTGAAGACGACTTGATTCCAATTCCAAGTCCATCGTAAGTGTCGCTGTGCCCACAATTGACGTTGACGTCTGTGTAATTGAGTCAGAATCGGCCCGCAGTATGGCCTTCGTGCTTGAAGGTGAGCAGTTCTCAGACGGTTTCGAACAGTTTGCGCACTCAGTCTACCCCTAAACAGTTCATTTCTGGTTGACGTAGCCGTCAAAAATCGGTCACGGAGGTGACGTAAGACAATCTGACGATCCTCTGCATGTGACGTCACACGTGGTCGACCTTGCCGAGGGCGATCAGCGGTGGTACCCGTTTGCTGTAGACGCGTCTGTAAATCATAAACATTCCGTCGACTACAACCCATCGTCCTTGCGACTTCAGCTACGGACGTTCCCGTCTGCAACATGCCGATGGCACGTTCACGTTGCACATTTGAAAGGCGTGGCATGACAAATGGCCGTAAAGACTTTTGTTTTCTTTTGTTTTTCTTTTTTTGTTAATGACTGCCAACAAGTATAGCTTAAAACACGTGCGGTATAATGGTCACGTGACCAGTTGCACGTGAAAAAACACTTTTGCCACTATAGTGCTGTGCACATGATTTTGATCGATTCACCTGCACAAAAACGGGTGTTATCTGAAGACAATACGTGGCCATTAATGTTTAAATACACAATAAGGGTCCACAATGATAACTGGTCCAAATGTTAAAATTTTAGGATTGTGAAGTTATTAATTTGGTTCAGTATATAACGGAAATGCCGGTATCATTGACGGTGAGGTCCATTAATATTCTGCGCCGATTTTAGTTTAGAACTTATTCATTTACAACTGAGATCAAGTGGTTGTTGTTGCAAGTGTATACAGTACTTTAGAAAATGAAGATATTATGAGCAAATTCATTCAACATAATCAAGATAGGTCCCATCAGCAAGTTAGCAAGTAAAATTGTCGCCAATGTATTTGAGCAAACTGTTATTGGCCCATTTGGGCACAGTCCATGACCAGTAGGCTATACATGTGAACGGATACTGATGTATGAATTTAAAAGATATATATGTTGTACGTTATGATAGTGACAAGATAAGCAGTTGCAGATCGCACATTATGATCACCTTTCAGTAATTATATTAATATTTGAAGCTTGTAATTATTGTCTAATCACTGCATCGGCGAGAAATTGTCCCTCACTTGTCTACTCGTTTATATTAGACAG